AAAAACAAAAACCCGAGATAGTTCTCAGATCCAGCTCAGGGATGCAGTGGTCATCTGTCCCAGGCTTGTCTAACTGCACTGTGATAGACTCTTTGGCACAGTGGGGAATGCTGGTGACCTGGTTGCCTCTGCTGGAAAGCCCTAGTGGCTTTTTGGACAGCTGGTCGTACCCTGACCCTGCTGGGGGAAGCTGACCAAGGTCAGAAATGCCTCTGATTAATTCCAGCCATGTTGCTGCCATGAGCCCTAGAGACTCCATCTTGGATCTCAGAGGATAATGGAAGATTCATCTCCCTTTGGAAAGCTGGGAACCACAGAGCAAGCAATATGGACTGTCCTGCTCTGTTCCTGTGCCTTAGCTTCCCAGGGTTTCCTGGAACTCCCAGTCTTGCCTGTCCTTGACAACCACACTTCCACCCCCAGCTGCAGACTCACATCCCCTTTGCTGAGCTGTCTCTCCACACTACTTCCTCCTGTTCCTGTGTTAGCTCAAGAGCGCCTCCCCCAACTCCACACTCATTTTCAGCCCTCTCCCCTCACTGTCTAGGCAGAGGGAAAACAGTAGGCAAGTCCCTGAACCAGACCTGTGCTTGCCAGATGTCAGGGCTGAGGAAAGTCCCAGGGCTTGGGATCCATGCTCTCTACTTCGGCATTTATTTTGAAAGAACTGAAGATGGATCGGGTAGAATTGGACTTGACTCAAGAACACTCCCAGAGGAAGGAAGCTGCAGGGCAAAAGGTAGGAAGAGGGAGAAAGGCCTGGGCAGCCAGGGCAGGTCCATGCAGGAAGGCAGGTCCGTGCAGGAGGGCAGGGTCTATGCAGGAGGCAAATCCATGCAGGAAGGCAGGTCCATGCAGGAGGGCAGGCCTGTGCAGGAGGCAGGTCCATGCAGGAAGGCAGGTCTATGCAGGGAGGCAGGTCTATACAGGAAGGCAGGTCCGTGCAGGAGGCAGGTCGGTGCTGGAGGGCAGGGTCTATGCAGGAGGCAGGTCAAGCAGGAAGGCAGGCCCATGCAGGAAGGCAGGCCTATGCAGGAAGCAGGTCTGTGCAGGAGGGCAGGTCCATGCAGGAGGCAGGTCCATGCAGGAGGGCAGGTCTATGCAGGAGGCAGGTCCAAGCGGGAAGGCAGGCCCGTGCAGGAGGGCAGGTCTGTGCAGGAGGCAGGTCCGTGCAGGAGGCAGGGCTGTGCAGGAGGCAGGTCCATGCAGGAGGCAGGTCCGTGCAGGAGGGCAGGTCTGTGTAGGAGGCAGGTCCATGCAGGAGGCCTGGTCAAGTTGGCAACAGCAGGGGCTGACTCAGGAGGTAGAGGGATTGGAGTTGTCATAGAAAAGAGAGGTGTCCAAGGATAACCCCATTTCCAATGGAGAGGTGCCCAGTGATAATGTCATGAGTTCATTGTGTAACAGCAGAATAAGTTTTGAAGAAATTCCTTGCTGAATGCACTATTTTCATTTTTTTAAAAGGTAAGTTGCTCTACCTTTTTAGAAAATTTTATATGTATGTGTGTTTTGCCTGCACGTATGTAAGTGCACCATGTGCAGGCAATGCCCACAGAGGCCAGAAGAGGGTGTTGGATCCTTTAGAACTGGGGTTACCAATGGTTGTGAATCACCATGTGGGTCCTGGGAACTAAAGCAAATGCTCTTAACCATGGGGCTATCTCTCCAGTCCCTGTTTTTGTTTTTCTGATTTTTGAGACAGGGTCTCACTATGCAGCCCTGGCCGGCCTTGAACTCACAGAAATCTGCCTACCTCTGTTCCCAGGTGCTGGAACTAAAGGCATGTGCCACCATGCGCAGCCTGAATGCACTGTTTTTAAAGTATTTTAAGAAGTGAGCACTTTCCTACAAGTGGTAGTGAGAGCAAGTGCCGAGTCTCTGCCCTGTGGCCCCCAGATTGGCAGGAAGCAGCTCACAGCTCGCTCACAATGTGTCTGATCAGTCCAAAACACCTAGAGCCTGCTTCTGGAGCTCTGGGGACCTTGGGCTTGCAGGACAAGCCATGGATGGACAGATGAGGGGATGGCATTATCTGGTGTCCCAGGCATATTCTTGGCCAGCTAGTTGTGGTACAGGCAGAGTTGGCTCTCCCCAATGAATCTCTGGGGTGTTTCTGCCCAGACCTCCCATCTGCCCTGGCTTCCTCGTCTTCTGAACTTGTGTCCTGTGCTGGGAGGCTCTCTTCCTTGCCAAGGATACCATCTTCTGTGCTGAGTCAGCTGAGTGCTTTTTGTCCACACAGTATTTTAACATCAGCACTGAGTTCTAGAGGGTAGTTGTCCTCAAGGCTTAAAGTACAGGGAACCTAGTTGGTGCTTCCCAGAAAAGGTGCCCAGTCCTCAAGTCTGGAATCTTTGGATTTTGCCAGTCAAAGCCAGCTGCTTTGTGTTGTTTAGGATATAATTTGGTGTCTGATTTACACCAATTATGTCATTAAAATTAGATATGCTTGCTGAAGAGCTGAAACATTAATTAGAAATTTTAAGTAATTGTAGGCTCATTTAAAGCTTTAAAAAAAATGATAACAGATCAGAGTCCCCCTTCTCCGTGTGTTGATGTGTGAGCATGCATTGTGTGAGCATGCATGCAGAGATTAGAACAGGCAGGTTGATTCATTCTCCTGAGTCAACAAGCTTCTGTGCCTTTGCAAGTCAGTGCTGAGGTCACCAATGAGGACCTTTGACTGCTGACAGAAAATAATAAGGAATTAACACTGCAGGTTTATCATTGTGAGTGCATTATATAAGGCAGAAAATCCCCTGAACACTTTCAGTTCAATATTTGGTAAATATTTCCCACACACTCCTTAGAAGCTTCAAATAAGGTCGGACATGGTGATGCAGACCTGTAATTCCACACTGAGAGGTAGAGACAGGGGGATTGCTGAGAGTTTGAAGCCACACTGTCTGTATAACAAGGTCTAAGGCAGGTGGACTATAGAGTGAAACTCTGTCTCAAAAGCAAACAAGCAAACTTCAAATGATGAGAAAGTAACACCATGGTAAAGGACAAAGTCAGTAGGTGTGAGATTTTCTCCAGAGGCCACCCTGTGCTCTGCCCACTGCTTCTCGGTGTTCCTCACCCAGCTCACCAGCCCTCTGCCGCAGAGTCACACACACAGTACATGACACAGTGGTTTCTGCATTTTTCAGAGTCTCTGGGTGTAGCCCGGTATGGAGCAGGTGCAGGTGGACGGTCCAGAATCCCCTCCTCTGCTAGCACTGCCTGTGAGAGGGATCTTGTCCCTAAGGTGGACAGCACAGTGAAGGAATGAGGTACCCGAGACCTGCCGGATTTCACCTGAGGGTCCCTAAGGAGTAAGGAGGAAAAGCTGTCGAATTAGTAACCCACAGTATTAAGAATTCAATGTGAATAAAGAAACAAAATGGAATGAAAGGTACAGGACAGAGTTCAACGTAAAGGTAAAGCCTTACCCCAGTCTTCAAACACTTGAGTGTTTGCTGGGCACATAGGTATGCATGTGTGCAGGACATCTGTGCTTCAAGTAAAGGGAAGTGACAAAGTTTAACATACTTTACAGATGATCGTTTGATTTTCTGCTTTTTAAATCACTTTTTATTTTCTTTTAAAGACATTTGAGAACTTTGCTTTTAGAAAGAAATCCTATCAAAATGTTACCTGTGGAGATGGGTAAGTATTGAAACAAAATGAAAATGACTTTAGAATGCTTTGGAGTTACCAGGGCATGCGTGACAGGAGGGTAGGTTGACAAGGTCTTTAAAGTCCTCTCCAAGTCTATCAGTTGCTTTTCCAGTGGCTGTGATTAAAAAAACCTGACAAAAGCTATGTAAGTGAGAAAGGGCTTATTTTGGCCCACAATTCAAAGGGATGCGGTGGGGGAAGTCAGGGTGGTGGGAGCTTGACGCAGCTAGTCACATTGTGTCCGCAGGCAGGAGAAGGCAGAGATGACAGTGCTTGTGCTTGCTTGGCTCATCCTCTCCTTTTTATATAATCTAGGACCCTAGCTTGGGGAATCGTGCCATCTACAGTGAGGGCGGCGTTCATCCTTCTCTCAGTTTAATCAAGATAATCCCCCACAGGCATGCCCAGACGCCTATCTCTCAATTGATTGTAGATCTCAGGTTGGCAATTGAGATTAACCGTGACACCCTCTGTTCTCAGGGCGAGTCAATACTGTTTTGTGTGTTGTCTACGGCAAGGCAGGACAGGTATAAGAACAAAGCACTTTGTGTATAGCACACAGCCTGAGGAAACCTGGTCATGGGGGCCACTCCGTTACTTGTATTTAAGTTTGATTTGCTTATTTCTTCCAAATGTATTTGGTTGTAAGTGTGTGTTTTTATTTCAAATCTCTGTTTTCTAGCAAACACCTGCAGTGACAGTTTGCCTGACTGTGGTAGCAGCACCCACGTGTTCTCAGTTGTCATGCGTTTGCCACTGAATTCAACATGCTTTCTGGCATGATTCACCATGGGCTATGCTGTAGTGTTGTGTTAGCTCCTGTACTCATCACTATGACCAAACACCTGATGAGCAGCTTATGGGTAGAAAGATTTGTTTTGGCTCATGGTGAGGAAGGTGAGAAGAGTTCGTGGCAGCGGGAGTTTGTGACTGGGGCTCCTCACATCTCCATGGATCAGGAAGCAGAGATCAGAGAATGCTTAGTGCTCAGCTGGCTTCCTACTTTCCCCTCTTCATTCAGTCAAGGTCCCTAGTCCATGGGATGGTACAGTCCACAAACCCTCTGGAAATGCCCTCATAGACACACCCAGAGGTGTGTCTCCTAGTTAATTCAAAATCCAGTCCAGTGAACCATTGTGCTGCTTAGTTTATACATAACTAGAAAGTTTCTGTGCCATTTAAAAAGCAGAGACTGTCAGAGGAGATGAAAATGCAGAAGCCAGCCGGGCGTGGTAGCCATGCCTTTAATCCCAGCACCCGGGGGCAGGCAGATCTCTGTGAGTTCAAGGCTAGCCTGGTCTACATAGTGAGTTCCAGGACAACTGGGGCTATAGGGAGACCCTGTCTCGAAAGACCGAAAAAAAAGAAAGAAAATGCAGAAGCCAACGGTATGCTACCCACTCACATTTATTGAAAGGCAAGAGGCTTGAGCACTGACACCTGGAAGGGTAGCATGAAAGGGATGCACCAGCAAGCAGCAGCATGGGGACAGGAGTGGCTACGTGATACGGGTCAGATGCCCAGTGAGCACCTGGCAGCGTGCTCAGCATCATCCTGACACTCAGGCGCTGTGCATTTTAAGAAGATGGACAGGTGTTTCTGGCTCCCCTGGGTATTTCTTCTTGTCACTGTGAAGCCCGTCTAGGAGGAACATGGCAAGAACTGCCAGAGGAGAATGGGTGCGGCAGGAAAGGCCAGGTGGCGCCCGTGTCCTATCACACACAAGCAGAGACTGGGAGAGTATGGCTTGTTCTCACCTCACGGAGGTCAGGGTGGAAAGCTTATCCTGGAGCCATTTTTAGAAATTTTCAGTTCAGGATGGTTTATGCCTATAATCCCAGACTTGGTAGGCCAAGGCAGTAGGGTTGTGTTTTGAGGGACAGCCTGGGTTAGTGAATTCTAGGTTAGTCTAGGCTACAGCAAAGTGAGACCCTGTCTCAAAAACTAAGAGTGAATGAACAAAAGATAAAGTTTCACCCATTTCTCCGTATCTTTCTCCCTCCTCCCCTTTTGTAGCCCAGGCTGGCCTTGAACTCCCTCTGTAGCTGAAAATGACCTTGAACTCCTGACCCTCCTAGCTGTACTGCCCAGTGCTGGGATCTCAGGTGTGCCCCACCAGGCCTGAGCCGCATTCCCAGCCATTTCCCTTTTCTGTCTTGTCAGCTTTGCAGTGGCCTCAGAGCTTGTGTGATGGGGATTTCTTCAAGTCCTTTGAGGCTGTGGCTCACTCTGCTCTGGCCACCGCTCCCGACTGGAAGTCAGCTGTTAAACTCATAGTTGCTCCTTGGGTGTCATGCGTTGGTTTCTGTGGCTCGCTCTTTTTCCCTGTGATGTGTCCCAGTGGGAATCTTTGGCTCCTTGGGGTTCGTTAGGCTTCATGAATGTGTAGATTAATGTTTACATCTGACTTGGATGTGTGGGGCCCAGACTTCCTCTGGAACTCATTACGGATGCCAGCAAGCTTGGGACTCTTCCCCAGGCCCTGGAGGTTCTGTTCAATCTTTTGTTTTCCTTTCTCCAGTCATCAGAGTGTGAGGCTTTTAGTCCTTTGTTGTTAAGTTCACCGCTTGCCCTGTGCCTCCTTTTGCCACTGTTGAGTTCCTCTGTCAAAGTTTTTACTTCAGTTTCTGCCACTTATAATTCTAGAGCTGTTCAGTCCTCTTTAGTCATTTCTGTTTTTATTGGCATTCCTGGTTGCTGAAGGTTTTATTCTGTTTCCTCTAAGTATTTGAGCCTCTTCCCTCTTCACTTTCTTGGCTGTGTGTAACTATGGGGCTTGAAGCCATTACAGGCACCTGGGATGCCTGAAGACAGCGTCGTTTGATGGCCATTGCCTGTGTACAGGACATGTTTTCCTTTTCTTTGCATGTCAAGTAGTTTTTATGTTGTAAATGAACATTTTGGGTAATATTTTTTTTAATGAGATAAGTCTACTCATTTATTTTTACATAAATCACTTTTCAGAGTTGAAAAAGATCAATATTTGGCTTTTATAATCATTACTGCCGAGAATGCCATTTCACATAAATTTGTAATACAAAATACAAATTTTGTATTGTATGTTTGGGGTCACTTCAGAATTTGTTTGCAATTCTGTCTTAATCCCAAGCCAAACTTCACTTAAAAAGTTTTTTTTTTAATTTTTTAAAAAATTGTTTATTTAATAACCATATAATTAGAAGAAGCATTTCATTACAACAGCATTGACATATTCAATAACAATTTCCAGAGCTAAGATGCATCTCTTTCAAAATTGGCTGTAAATTTTTAGGTATATAGTTGAATTAATACAGTTATACAGTATTGTACTCTGTCTAAACCCTATAAGACATAAAATTAAATGAGGTTTTAAACTTTAAAAAAGGTCTCCATTTCATTACTGAAATACAGTTTCATACAGAAAAATTCATTTTTAATACAGTTGACATGAAGATGCACATGCATTTCTGTTCTGGTTTGTTTCTTCATTGCTGTGACAAAACACTCTGACCAATACCAACTTGGGGAGGAAAAGGGTTTATTCAGCTTATAACTCCCAGATCACAGTTCATCAGGGAGCCCAAGGTAGGAACTCAGGGCAGGAACCTGGAGGCAGGAGCTGGAGCACAGGCCATGGAGGAATTCTGTTTACTGGCTTGCTCTCCTGGCCCCTACTCAGCCTGCTTTCTTATACAACACAGGCCCACCTGCCCAGGAGTGGCACCACCCACAG